TTGGTTTGATGATCCTATTCAAAATAACCAAATGGTGGCCTTTTTTGTGCTAAACAATTATCAAATATCAAGCATTTCTGGCATTTATGGATGGATTTCGTTCAAACTTGGTACATATATTAGACATTACAGGTTCCTGATGCACATCATTTATTTTTCAGATTGGATTCAAAATGTCTGTCTGGCGGCCATTTTGTTTTAATGAATTTGCTTCTAGACCCATATCTCCGACTTGTTTTGACTGATAATATTTTCAAATTTTAAATATTCATTATACATCATGTCATAGATAAACAGATATATTGGTTTGACTATCCTATTCAAAATGGCCAAATATCAAGCATTTATGGGTGGATTTCATTCAAACTTGGTACATACATTAGACATTACGGGTTCCTGATGCTCGTCATTTTATTTTTCAGATTGGATTCAAAATGGCTGATGCGGCCATTTTGTTTTAATGATTGGGCTTCTAGAGCCATATCTCTTAAATGCTTTGACTTATTGTATTTAAATTTTATATATTCGTTATACATCATGTTATATATATATATATACATGTATTCAAAATGGCTGATTTTGAATGCTGTTCTGGAGCAATATCTCTCAATATGGACAAGTACTTGTTTGACGATCAGATACAAATGTCAATCATTTTAATGTTAAAAAATCATATTCCTGACATGGTTATATTCCAGCTATATTACTATAAACAAAACTATATATCTTAAATTTGATAACTAACGGGGACTGTGCCATGCATGGCTTGTTTTTACCCATGCCTACTTTCCCATGAATGCAATGAACATTTCTGTTCAAATTTTGTACTAAGACAGTATACCAATAGATACATCAACATGAACAATATTTTTGTATTTTGATTCAATATGACTGCCCAATGTCCAATTCTCGTGTAAAAGCACTAAATCGGAATTTTTTACAAATCCATATCCTGTCAATGGTTTTTCAATCTAATCTCAATGACTTCATCAGCATCAAATTGATATGTCAGATCACAAAATTTTGGACAGGGACTTGTTTTTTACAGTTCTATAACTGGAATCTTGAGGTATCAATGTTTATTGATTTATTGAAGTGCGCAGTGTCAGGCTATTTTTCTATGTATGTATAAAACAAACATTAAAGTCATTATTTGTGTGCTCACATCCCAAACCTTTTCTACTCATTTGCATACAGCAACACTGTTTTACCAGCTGCAAATAAACAAATAATTATTGGAACCAATTTTGATTGTGAAGGCACATTGGCAACATTTTTGTGGGGGAGTTCTATCTATCTTCGTGCATCTTAACAGTAAATCAGCAAACAGCAGTAGCAAGAACAAATTTGCAGTGGAAAGAATCCTCAGCCTTATAAATTGCAAAATCCTCAAATGCGATTTAAAACAACAAGGCAGCTTATGAATGCATAAAATTTAGTTAATAGCAAACTTTCAGATTGATCATACAATAATTTGTTTGGTCATTAAGTGAGCCATGTTTTGACAGTTTAGGAGTTGACTACCAGGTATTTGGTAATATCACAATTTCAAATTGTGAGCAAGGACAAATCCGATTTGCGGCTCAGTGGATGTAATAAAAAAAATATTACCGGTACATTGCTTTATGTCACTGCTACTGCACGATAGATGGGATAAAGTGAGTAATATATCTTATTACATTATGAATGTGTTGACAATGCATTGTAATATTGCTGTGCAGTTGTCAATGTTAAACATTTATACAACCCTGACAATTGCAAACATAATGTATTGTTTTTCTATTGACAATAGATGGCTTCTGTAGCCAATAAAGACTGGTGTTTTCTGCACTGTTTACCAAGGAAGCAAGAAGAGGTCGATGATGAAGTTTTCTATTCCAATAGATCATTGGTGTGGCAGGAAGCTGAGAATAGAAAGTGGACTGTAATGGTGAGATCATTTGATAAATTTGAATTATTCATTATTATTCAGTACATTTGTCAGGGGCATGTATTGTCTAAAGTTTATATCTGACTCATCTCTGAAAATTGTAACATTTTAAGGCATTCATTGCATCAGATGGTATTTGGAAGCTTCCACTGACAATTGTAACTTTCACATCCCTTGCTGTTTCTTTTAGAATATTACAACATTAATGGTATAGCGACAACATACAGGTCTTAATTAAGTAACGCAATTCATCAAAAATAAGTGTATTTATTCATTTATTTGTTTGTTGACTAATTACATGTCTATTTCCTCTGCCAGGCTGTGATGCTTTCACTTTTACAAGATCACAAACTGACGACACCAAAACCAACATTTTAACTGATGTGATGTAAAGCAAAAAACAAGAGAACTGACTAGATGTGATTTTAAATAAAATTATTTTAACTCCATTTAACTAAAATCATGAGTATAAAATTGAAGTGATTACTTAGTGCAAGGACTGCTGTGACATTTCTCCGGATTTGAATGTGATTTTGCAAGCTTTCAGATGAGACAACTTACATCACACATGTAATTACAAGTAAAGTCTACACAGTATGTGAACAGTCATTATTAACTGCAGTTTGCATCGATTCAATGTAGTAACTTTGGAAAATTAGTTCAAATCTCAAAGTTATGGTGCTGTTTGTAGTAATGTGAATTAGAATTAAAAGTCTCAACTGGTTAAGTTTGGTGGATAAAAGGAAGATTGTTCAGCATTAAACACAATGAATTTACATGATTTCTATTAAATGGATTTTACGGAACAGGACTTCAAGGATATGCAAGGTTTATAATAGGGATTTTTTAAACTTTAAATTTTTGTCTTGAATCCTGTTAGTTTGATCTCTTAAATTAAGGGTGTGGTTAGTAAAAGGACTTTAAGAGTAGTACCTAAACTAATATTTGTGAACATAATTGATATACATGTTTTTTTATTTTTAAATGAGTTACATAAAATCAGTGGGGACTTGTTGTGTGCATCCAGATATGTTTGTGATAGAAAGTATCGCACAAAACATTGTTACCTTGGATGTTGCAGTTGTCTATCATTGTGTTCTCTAGTAGATAATATCCCATGTGTGTTGTATGTGTTGATTTTCTAACTGTGAAAAATACTGTATTGTCTTTTAATAATACAGAGTACAACTGAGAACAGAATAACATGTACACTGCAAATGTACACTGAGAGTCTTGAGATGCATATATGCTGCAAGTCTTGAGATGCATATATGCTGAGAGTCTTGAGATGCATATATGCTGCAAGTCTTGAGATGCATATATGCTGAGTCTTGAGATGCATATATGCTGAGTCTTGAGATGCATATATGCTGAGTCTTGAGATGCATATATATGCTGCGAGTCTTGTGATGCATATATGCTGCGAGTCTTGAGATGCATATATGCTGCGAGTCTTGAGATGCATGTATGCTGCGTGTCTGGAGATGCATATATGCTGAGAGTCTGGAGATGCATGTATGCTGCGAGTCTGGAGATGCATGTATGCTGCGAGTCTGGAGATGCATGTATGCTGCGAGTCTGGAGATGCATGTATGCTGCGAGTCTGGAGATGCATGTATGCTGCGAGTCTGGAGATGCATGTATGCTGCGAGTCTGGAGATGCATGTATGCTGCGAGTCTGGAGATGCATGGATGCTGCGAGTCTGGAGATGCATGTATGCTGCGAGTCTGGAGATGCATATATGCTGCGAGTCTTGAGATGCATGTATGCTGCGTGTCTGGAGATGCATGTATGCTGCGAGTCTGGAGATGCATGTATGCTGCGAGTCTGGAGATGCATGTATGCTGCGGGTCTGGAGATGCATGTATGCTGCGGGTCTGGAGATGCATGTATGCTGCGGGTCTGGAGATGCATGTATGCTGCGGGTCTGGAGATGCATGTATGCTGCGGGTCTGGAGATGCATGTATGCTGCGGGTCTGGAGATGCATGTGTGCTGCGGGTCTGGAGATGCATGTGTGCCGCGGGTCTGGAGATGCATGTGTGCCGCGGGTCTGGAGATGCATGTGTGCCGCGGGTCTGGAGACGCGTGTATGCCGCGGGTCTGGAGACGCGTGTATGCTGCGGGTCTGGAGACGCGTGTATGCTGCGGGTCTGGAGACGCGTGTATGCTGCGGGTCTGGAGACGCGTGTATGCTGCGGGTCTGGAGACGCGTGTATGCTGCGGGTCTGGAGACGCGTGTATGCTGCGGGTCTGGAGACGCGTGTATGCTGCGGGTCTGGAGACGCATGTATGCTGCGGGTCTGGAGACGCATGTATGCTGCGGGTCTGGAGACGCATGTATGCTGCGGGTCTGGAGACGCATGTATGCTGCGGGTCTGGAGACGCATGTATGCTGCGGGTCTGGAGACGCATGTATGCTGCGGGTCTGGAGACGCATGTATGCTGCGGGTCTGGAGACGCATGTATGCTGCGGGTCTGGAGACGCATGTATGCTGCGGGTCTGGAGACGCATGTATGCTGCGGGTCTGGAGACGCATGTATGCTGCGGGTCTGGAGACGCATGTATGCTGCGGGCCTGGAGACGCATGTATGCTGCGGGCCTGGAGACGCATGTATGCTGCGGGCCTGGAGACGCATGTATGCTGCGAGTCTGGAGACGCATGTATGCTGCGAGTCTGCGATTATTGATGGGAACAGTGTTTTTTACAGTTATGTTTACTACCATATCTCAACCCTGTAGCAGTGCTTTACAGGAATTGCTGTA